AGAAGAGACAGGCAGAGAAAGAAGTAGACTTACAGCATTGCCGAGTGGACAGAGAAGGAAGAGTGGATGGTTGGCGGGTCCTCTGGTGTGGCTTGCTCCTTCTCTCTCATAAAAAACCCCAACATCTATTGTCCTTTTCATTCTGCCCCCCCCCCCTTCTTTCCTCTGTATTATGTTACTCTCTAATAACACGGTTTCACTTCCGCACTTGTATGACCTAATTGTGTTGAAAGTGGCGTAAAATTCTTACTGAAGCTGAATCCAGGTTTGACGCGTGCAAGACTAAGATGTTTACTGCTACACAACACACATCGGCTCCTCGACTGATAATAATGAGAATAATGTAATAATGATGATCACAGTAATTATAACATGCAATCTGAGAAACATCCCGATCACAGTCACGAGTGCCTTAACCCTTCCCAGGAGCTCTCGTGGCCTAGAGGTTACGGCGTTCTCCTCTCAATAGCCGTCCACACAGATTCACACCGCGGACCTATTGAATGAGAGGCGAGCACCTTAACCTCAAGGCCACGAGAGCCCCCGAAGAATAGATGTGTTACAAGAGATTAACATACACAAAAAGAAGGAGGAGAGATAAGGACGACAGATGTTTAATAGAAAAGGATGGGAGATAAGGTGGACAGATGTTTAATAGAAAAGGAGGAAATCACACCAGAGCACCCGTCAACCACCCACTCTTCCTTCTCTGTCCACTTGGCAATGTTGTCGGTCTATTTCTTTCTCTGCCTGCCTCTTCTACTTCCACCTTGAACAGTCTATCCGCCCTGCCGCCTGCCTGCCTGCCTGCCTGCCTGCCTGTCTGTCTGTCTGTCTGTCTGTCTGTCTGTCTCTCTCTCAGAGCATATGTGACATTTGTATTTCTCTCTGGATTTATACTAGAAGGTATACACAGTTGTCCGTTTTTCTATCATGACAAGAGTAGTCAAAGCAGCTTGGCTGAATGAGCTGAACTTATTTGGGGAATCCTAAAACGATGGATAATAGCGAAAGATCAGGATGGTGTAGATCTAGCTTTTTTTTAGAGCATCTGAGCAAATGAATAAACATCGAACCATGATCACTGATGTCTACGGCAGATCTGGCAATTGATGATGATGATGATGATGATGATGATGAATTTGAAATGACCGGCGCCTGTGGTGTAACGGTTAGGCTCTTCACTTTTGCCTGAAGGAGACCAGAGTTTGATTCCTAAATGGGGATACATTTTTATTGAGTATCTCTGTCATTCTGCTGAGATGTTGTACACCCCTCTACTCTAAGCCGGCCTCCTAAATGGTCTAATTTGTGTCGATGGGGGTGTGTAATTATTTGACCTGAGATCAAAGTGATCGGAGCTGTTAGGGGTGTGTGCTCTGTAATGTAAGAATGAAACCTCCAAACCCCCCAAGTTCGGCGCTATGTACTTCTCCATAAATTTCAGTTCTAATTCATGTGTAAGTAAGGAAACATTTTTTTTGTGTGTGGGAGGGGGGGGTGTTGTTAGGAAGTGAAGAAATCCAGGTCACACTGAGGTACAGCACGTCTGAATGCAGGCCTATATTTGTATTACCCATGCTCTGACCATTATAAACCATAATAATTATATAATGACACTGTCTAAGACAACCACTTTTCTCCCCAACAATGGCGAGTGTCTTTGACAATTTTGACCTTTTCTTTCATTTTGTGGTCTGTACTGGTATCCGAAGGCCAGATACCTGGACTTCAAAATTACCTATTTTTGTCTAGTGGTTTGTTGTACTCACATGAAATCTCTCCTTCCCAAGGTTATGTAGTCTGTCAAATGTGTCCTTTCCTGGCCTCAATCAAAAGAGGTAAAGTGTATGGGTTTATTGCCCCTATCAACACTATCCGGTTGTTTAAGAGGCAGGACCTTTGAATTTAATGTCCGTCTCCGATAGGACTAAGCCAAATGGATTGAGAGCCTTGAAAACCCCATATAACGGTGATAACAACCCAAGTTCAAGAACGTCCAGTCTGGGATTCGAACCAGAGCTGTCCACTCTATTGTCCCGCATGATACTGATACCAACTGATGTAACTGCGCGCCTGATAGTAATAAACATAGCATTTATATAGCTCTCTACTTGCTCAGTAGAGTCTGAAATTGAAGTCCTGGAACCATTCATGGGGGATGTTGACCAAGATGGCCCAAAACAGACAGAGCTGGAGATCCTTTGCTGCTGCCCTAAACGCCCGATGGCGTAATGGGTGGTCAGTAAGTTATATAGCACAAATCCCTCCTCAACAGCAAGCTGTATGCGGTTCACAATCTATACTATTTGATAAAAACAAACAAAAGCAAGACAAACTGACACAGAAATCCCTTGTGTGTGTGTGTTTGGCAGGACAAGAAGCAGGCTAAGGGGAAGGAGCGGGAGGAGCGGATCAAGGAACAGGCCGTGCTCAACTGTCAGGCTCCCCGGCACCTCGAGATGGTCACGCTGAAGGCTGCGCTCAAACTACGCGGCCTGGCACTTCATGAGGTCAGTAGACTCTCTTTTTTTTTGGTTGTTTTTATGTTTGTTCCTTTCTTTCTGCTTTGTTTTGTTGTTTTCTGTTGTTGTTTTAATAAGAGTTTTACGGCACTTGAAACACAAATAGGGAATATATATAATATGAGTGACGAAAATTAGAAGAGGAGAATAAATGTTTTGACCAGATAGGAAGGAAGAAGCAGAGCACCTGCCTACCACCCACTGGCAGCCCTTTTGTCAAACTAGGCCACATCAGAGCTCAGACAAATCCGGCTGGGCCGTTAATAAAAAAAATCAATGTGTCAAAGAATGGACTTACTATCGTTTGAAAACAGCAGTGTATAATATAATGACAATGACTACTTAATTATGTGTATATATAAATGACCACAATCTTTTCCAGCTTTTTTCAGTATTTAGAATTTGAATTTGAATTTTAACCCAAAAATATTTCATGAACATATATATATATATATAACTTATTAAGATACTACACTTAACTATAAGAAGAAAGAAATCGGATAAATATTTGTTGGGTTGGGGTTTTTTTTGCGATTAAAAAAAGAATGTTCCTAGTGACATTGTACTCTTTTTAGTTCTGGTTCAAGTGATCATACAATTTCTTCCATTTCTACTTTCAGATTGCTGCCGATGGAAATTGGTAAGCGATGCTTCACTGTCATCTGTCTAAGATATTTTTGCCAGTACTTTCATTTTTACAGAAAACCTCAAACAAATATAACAATGTGTTATCATTGATGGCTATGCCATATGGTTGGAAGAACAAGAAGATTTAGAAATTCATTTGTACTGGCAACTGTAGTAAAGTTACTGAACACACAAGTGCTGCATATGAAACAGGGAGAAAGAGAGAATGTTTACTAGCATTTCACTTCTGTTCAAATGTTGAGAATTTTCGATTTTTACACCTTCCTAAAACTCTGTCAAAGATAAACCTTTCAACATCACTAAAATGCAGTTTTTAATGCTGTAGTCAAGGCTTACAATTTTATCACTTTCCTTGATTCCTGATGGGAACAACACTACAAAAACTAGATTTTTTTTTGGTCTCTGGTGTGAAAAGTACCCAAGCAGGCTTGAGTGGATTGATTACGACACCGACAATGCATTTAATGCCCTATCTGTTGTGCATGTGTGAGTGCACCTGACTTTCGTTGCACCGCTGCCAGTGTAAACAAGCAAGACTAGTAAAGATTGTCTTGTCATTATGGCGGTTGGTGGTTTGTGGTGTGAACTGATGGACTTCTGGTGTTTTGTCTTATAGTTCGGGTAAACTTGTGCTGTTTAATTATTAAAAGTATAAAAACTTATTTACTGTGAATTTTGTGTTGTTTCACAGTATGTACAATGCAGTCAACCACCAGCTGTCCTGTCGCAACTTGGAGGTAATTCTTGTTGTACTTTTCTGAAAAATGAGGAAAAAAATCATCTGAGGTACAAGTATGTGTGTAAGCCAAAGATAATGTTAGGTTTAGTTTATAGAGTGGTTGCATGTGTCTTCTATGTATGGGTAGTTGAGGTTTAGAATTATTTTTCAACTTACAATGTTTTACTGTCCTTTTATTCGGTTAATTTTTCTTTTTGATATTGACCGGCTCCTGTGGTGTAGCAGTTGAGCACTTTCCTGTCGGACGCAGGAGACCAGAGTGCGATTTGTGAGGGGGAGAATTTTTATAGAGTATCTTGCTCTTTCGGATTGGATGTTATATCCCTCTCCGCCCTGGTTGGCTCAAACAAGCAGGGTTGAAGCTGGCCTCCTAAATATCTAAATTATATCGATAGAGGAGTAAAAAGACCTGCTTTTAAGAAAGACAATCTTTCTTTGTGCACAGAGGGCAAAAAAACCCAAATAAAACGAACCCTCCGCTCACTGCAATTGGTAAGGGAGGAACAAACAGATGCAGTGTGGGCCAGCCCCTGTAGGGAATGGAGCCCCTGTAATGCCTCTTACGACGGAAGCTCACTTGTGAACATCTGGGCATAGATGGTTGTCAGGTTGTATTTGTAAGATGCTCAGAGCATGTGTTTTTTTATAGGGCTGAGCTTGGCCATCGATAATTTATTTATAAAGGCACCAGCCGTCCATCATGTCCTCCTAGTGTTGTTTTAGCTTGAGCTCTATATTTGAATGTCATATTATTATTATTATTATATATTATTATTATTATTATTATAGTAGTACTAGTAGTTGTAGTCCAGCCTCGGTTGTTCCTGCGGTAGTGTTGAATGACCGGCACAATCTGTCTCTCTGTCTGGCCCAGCGGGTGGTTGATGGGTGCTCTGGTAGGTGTGGTTTGCTCATCCTTCTTTCCTATCAAACATCTATCGCCCTTAAATCTGCTCCTTCTTTTTTGTGTATGTTACTCTCTTGTAACACATCTATTCTTCGGCACTTGTATGATCTTATTGTGTTGCAAGCGCCGTAAAACTCTTATTAAAACTAAAACTGTCTGGCCCAGTCTTCCAACAAGGAGCTGCGAGAGAAGACGGCGGACTTCATGAGATCTCACAGAGACGACTTCCTGCCATTCCTGACTCACCCGGACACCGGCGACATGTTGACTGAGGGTAGGTATTCAAATCTGGTCGTTTTTGTTTGTTTGGTTGTTTTTTTTACCAAAAAAAATATTCTCTGCTTAATGGGGTTTTGGAGAAAAGTAATCAAGATTTTGTAATGACTTGCGTGGATTCAAATAAATATGTAGATTTTTTTGAAAATTTAGGTGGTTTTTTGTTTTTACTCCTCCAAAGACACTACTTAGATCATTTAGGATGCGGGCAGGGTCAACCCGGACTGAGAGGGATACAGGATCCCAGGAGAAAGACCGAGGTACTCTATGAAAATATGGGGAATCGAACTCGGGTCTCCTGCCTGCGACAGCGAAGCGCATGATTGGTACACCACAGACACTGGATTCGTGAATTAATCAAATATCGTTTAAACATCTTCTTACGTTTGAGTCCTGAAGGCGTGTTGGTCAAAGATTTGCAGTGTGAAGAGATTAAGTAGGTACCAGAAACTAAATTTTCAAAGTGGCTGTATGCCAAATTTATCTATTCCATATGAAAGACCTATGTCTCCTGAGCATTTTGGTACCATTCTTTAACCTCTCAGTCAATTTTTAAGAAAATGGTAGTTGTTTAAAATTTGATCAAATTTGTTAAAGTCGGTCAGTGGCTGCAACCCCATGTTTGGCAGACAATAAAAGAGTACCAAGTGCACTAAACATCTCCACATTAACAGAGTACAATCACTATAACATGGGGCCTAATTTTTTTCAAGACTGTGAGATCATTACAAATCAGTATTTTATCGCCTCAAACATGATGATCTGTCGTTATTTCGACAAAAACACAGAGCGTTGACCCAACCAGCGCCGCACTGACCCCCGCGGCGAGCGAGTCGGCCCTATACTCTAGTGTACCCTGCATGGTGGGTCACATGCTTTCTGAGTCTCGCAGAAGGATTGATGCTAAATAATTCCAAGCCGATTACTTTATTCAAATAGGAAATAAACTGATCTTTCTATTCATACCTTTTTTAAGTCGGTATTTTACATATTCTGTATAAAAAATTATCTTTGAAAATTTTGACGGTATTTTTAAAGACTTTCTATTTAAACGCCATAGGCCAAAAGTATACCAAAGGAAAGCCTGTTTAAAGCTCTACAGTTCTCCGCCAATGAAAAGACGGCATTTAATCATCCCTCGGTCCGCGAAGCATTTGAATGCACGCGTGTCAATTTTTTAATCGGCCGACCACGCATTCTGACCGCGAGGGGCTTCGCTTTCCTTCCCGATATTCTAGCTCCTAATAATCGGACGTATAAACAACTTACACCATTGTAACGAGGAAAAGTTGAACTTTTACAAGGTGTACGACATTTGGTGTTTTATAGCGAAAGAGCAAAGAAACAGCGATCTGAATTACCCCGATTTCACCGATACCACGTGCTCGGAAGGCCGCGAGTGCCCGCGAGGCGGTGTTTACGCTACCTACAGGGTGATCCAAAAAAAACTTAACAACTTGTCTTGTAAATATCTTCCTCCATACTGAAGTTTTTGCGTTTCAGATTTGAACATAACGTTTGGAAGTCAATTTAAGGAATTTGTCTGTTATGTATTTCAAATAAGTCCATTGAATGGTTTTGCTCTATATAGCGCATTAAAAAAATCAACCCATTTTCAACCTTGTCACCATTTTCATAGCATGGCGCACCAGTTCGCATTAGACCTACCTCTAAAAGTTGCAACAATCGCGCCATATTGCAAGCTACAGCAGTCTAAGTCAACAGAAGTCTGCAGATACATGTATTATTTTCCCAAATTTTGTTTGCCTGCTGAGATCATGGCTACGTTTAGTAAAGAGCAGAGAGCTATTTGTATTGAACATTACCTCTCCACAAACTCGCCATCCCTGACATTTTGTAAGTTCTGCACACGGCATGGAGAGAATGCTTTGGTGCCCTCAAGACCTTTGGCGTCATGAGTTGAGAAGTTCTGTCAGTTTGGATCTATAGCGAATCAGAACTAAAAAGTTCTTTAAAAAATAACCACTTCAGGTCGAACACGCACCTTGTGCAGCCCTTTAAACGTCACCAGAGAGCAGATTTCAGTAGCAGAGTCCCATGAGACGTCCGTCCGTAGACGATCTGCAGCTAGGACTTTCCTACTCATCAACAGTCTGCATTCTCATGGCAGATCTTGACCTACGACTACACAATGTTCATCTTCGCTAGGCCGAGACGACATGGATCAGAGCATGGCACTTTGTTCATGATTCCTCGATTGTCCTGTAAAGAGGGATAATTTCTTCTATGACATTTGGTTTAGTGCAAAGCCCATTTTCACCCAACGGGATATGTTATCTCCAAAAATGCTGTCTATTGGGCACTCCACTGTATTGTCTCTAGAAGCCACTTCTTGGTGAACATGTACAGTGTATGTGGCTTTAAACACTCAAGGTTTAGCAGGTCCTTGTATAGGGCGCCACTGAACATTTCGAACGGCGCGTTAAAAATGTGTCGAGTCCAGAGGAGGGAATGTAGAGCACTGCTTCTAGGAATTTCAGAATGAAATCATTAGCTTTTAAAAACTCTGTAAAAGTAATTAAATATGTGAGGCAGCGTGGTGGAATCAGGCTCTTGTCAATTTTTGGGCATGTAGGGTTATTGGTATCATCTTAAAGCTTGTTCACTGGTCTTCATTTGGATGAAAAAAATCTCAATTTATCTTGAATATAAGTCGAGATATTTGTGAATGAAGGAGGTGGGAGTCACCTGTTTTCAGAGGTAAAATAAGTGAGAAAATGGCCGCCAAAGATTAGTTATTTCCTTAGCTTAAGAGCCCGTGGTAACTTGAAAATTTACGTTTTTTTGTGTCTTTAATCAACGTTTTAAAGAAAAATCCACATGGAAATGAGTTCTTTAATGGGCAGGAAAAGTGTTGAGCCAAAAAACAAAAATTTGAAAAAAATTCACAAACCTGCGGAAAAATGCAAGTTTCTTCACTTTGATTATTTTGACGAGAGCCTGATTCCACCATGCTGCCTCACACATTGTTTAAATGTCACAGGGATGGAAAATTAATTTCAAAGAGAAAAGAAGGAAAAAGGTCAACTAATCTTTTCACGACTTCCTTTACAAGATTTTTAAACATTGGTGAACTTTGCGTTTTTGGGTGCTTTTTTTCTTTTAGCCGTTTCCGTTTTCAAAACATGTTTGTTTTTCGTGGAGTTTATATCAAACAAATTCCTTTTGAATGAATTATGTCTGTTCCAAATTACAGCATTCTAGAACAATTTTTGCGCGAGATATTCAGAAAAAAAGTTGTAAAGTTTTTTTTGGATCACCCTATAGATAGAGACATCACCTGCACAAACGGTCACTTCCCTCCATGCTTATCTTTTTCATCATGATGGCACTGAGTAAGTAATGCGGCCAATCTCCTCGACAGTGAGTGGCCGTCTCTGACAGTTTTGACTGTATTTGTGTTGCGAGTGGCGGAAAACTCCTCCTAAAAAAACTATTTTTTTCATCTTTTTGTCCCCTCAGAACAATTTGAAGAATACTGTGAGAAAACGTCAAAAACACCGATGTGGGGAGGACAGATTGAGGTTTGTGTTAAGTTCTCTCTCTCTCTCTCTCTCATGGAAACCGCAGCTTGCACTGTATGCTTCCAAGGAAGCTGAGAATATTTCTGAGTGTTCTAGTGTCTACCTGGGTAATAATGGTTGTAAAGCACATAGATCGTATTGTTGATTGTGGATATGCGCTCTATAATTATTGTTGTTATTATTTTTATTTAATTATTATTAAGCATCACTTCCTCAGCGTTTAGACACAAAAGTTTTTAGGGATTTTAATCATGGCTGAACATGCACAAGTCTGGAACAAGAAGCTGCAGAACTTTGTGTGTGCTGATTAGTTGTTGATCCTGGGGGTAGGAAATCTTGTAAGAATCGATATGATGAGTATTATGAGGGTATGAAGGTTTTTGAGAGGTAATCTACCACTTTTTGTTGATGTTGTTGCCGTATGTTATATCATGAGCTGTTGACAATGGTATGTGGGTACTGTGTTAGCTCAGTTGGTGTTACGTTGAACTAAGAAGCCGTTGGGCCTGGTTTGAATCCTAAATTGGGCTTTCTTGAACTGAGGCCTTCGTTTAAAAAAAATTATTTTATAAATTGTTTTGAAGGCTCCTAACCCATTTGGCTCAGTCATTTCAGGGACAGACGTTAAATTTGAAGGCCTTGCCTTTTAAATAAGCTAATAGTATTGATAGGAGCATAAAAAACCCATACACTTACACTTACTTATCTACACTGGTATGTTTTAGCTCCGTGCCCTGTCCGAAGTGTTGCAAGTGCCAATAGAGGTCATCCAGGCTGACACACAACCTCTTGTGATCGGAGAAAGTATGAAAGCTGACCCCTTGACCCTTGTGTAAGTTTTCTCTAACATATACAGTGCAGTCCGCTTAAACTGAACTTGGTTAATTCTACTCAACCCCCCCCCCCCAAATAATTTTAAAAGTTCAAACCTATGAAGACGAAAGACAACAGAATTCCCCTTTTTTATCTTTGCTATTTAAGCAATTTCTCTAAACTGAAAACACAGCTAAACTGAAGATAATCTGACGACCCTGTAGATTTCGTTTAAATGGGCTCCACTGTTATTTTTCTCTTGTCTTTTTCGATATCTGATATCCTTCTAATTTGTTAGGATTTCCGTTTTATTTTTGTCTGTTTTGTTTTGGAAGTGTTCTCTGCTCCTCATGAGTGTGGTTGTAGGGTGACACATGATTTTAACTTCTTTATTTTCCTCAGCTATTTCTGTCCTTTCTCTCAGAGGGAGGTTGGAGGGTGCTACCAGTAAGCCCTCTTTCTGTTATGTTTAATACATTTTATATATTTCTTTCCACTTTCGGAAAATTAGATGGGCAACCCGTACCTTCTTGTCGTTTCTCTCTGTCGTTATTGTCTCTCCTTGATCAGTACTAAGAGGGGTTGGTTTTTTTGGTGGGGTTTTTTTTTCCCTTTCTGATATTTATCAATATATCCTTTATTTTGTTTATTATGCACAACTCCCTTAATCAGACAGAACAAAGAAGGGTATGTTAAACAAAGAGATAATTTGAAATAGAAAAAATTCCATTTTTGTTCATCCACATGAGGGAACTTTGGCATACATTGGCATAACATCTAAACATATATTATACGTAAATAAATACCTAGACACATGATATATTGAATCATAAATATACTATTAACACTCTACTGCTGGTGGCCACTACTGTGCTGATCCCTGTAGTGTGAGTTGGGGTTATCGTGTCTTACTCAAGGACACACCCCAGTGACCACCCACCTACACACCGTGTCACCGATGTTTGCTTGACCTTTTGTCCATCTGGCTTCCCACCGCAGGTACCACCGACACGTGTACAGACTGGGAGAACACTACAACTCTGTGTGTCCGCTCACCGCCCAGGAGGAGGAGGCGGAGGAGGAGTCGGGAGTGCAATGATGACGACCAGGATTAGCTCTGTACATATTCTCATCACAGTTCTGTACCTTTGGTAATAACTGATCTGTAGCCTACGTATTGTTGTCACAGTTCTGTACATGTATATATTGCGACGTCCGTGCTTTCATGTTGCACCTCCATTTTCAATAACGTTGAAAACAGTTCATAACAAAGAGTGAGCTGAAGAAGTCACATTTTCTCTGTTAGAAAAAATGGAGATACGACAAGAAAGCACTGAGGTCGCGATATGGTAATAGCTGATCTGAACATATTGTCATCCCAGATCTGTTATTGTAGTGAGAATCTTTTCCTCTGTGCTGTGAATGGTGCTCTCTGTCGGTGTGAGTGGTGTTGGTGAAATAGTTAAAGCGTGTGTGTGTTTGGTATGAGCGGAGGCAAGTGTTCTTCACATTTTGGTGAATGAGTGGGGAGTGGAGTTTTCGCTGTGTGACAATGTAACTTGACACATTGTTCTGTTCAATTGTTTTCCTTGTTAGATACAGCAGACCAATTATGTTTATAACTTTACTGTATTTCTCACACTCCCTTGGTTGTTGTTGGTTGTTTTGGGTTTTTTTGCACTCTCTGTATTTGTTTGTGTGGGGAGGAGGGGGGGGGGTATAACTGTATGCTCTTGAACACAGTGTCAATGGTGTATTGTAATGCTGTTTTGTTTTAGTACGAGTTTTAAGGCACTTGCCACACATATAGTCATATATGTAGGCCTACTTTAGAACAGAGATGGTTGAGAAAATGACAAGAAGTATTCAATGCATAATGAGTTAGACAAAAATCATTTCGGTTTAAGAATATCAAACTCCAAAGTTTTATTGGACATCAATAGAGTTTAGAAAATATCCCCAAAATGCCAGCCCAATGCATTAAACCAACAACATAGAATCTTTTGCTTAGATCTACAAACCAAAACACTTAGAATCTAGATTCTTTACTAGATCTACCTAAGATGGCTCGACATAAATCATTTGACATGTTTTTTTATCCGCCTTTATTCCAAAAAGCAATTAACATCAACTAGTAACCTATGTGAAAATATTTGGATCCAACTGTACATAGTGTTGTCAGATCCATTCGTTACCATGGAACATACATCTAAATAGTATCAAGCTTAGAATGGCTTATTTATCCTTTGTACTTGTTTTTTAAGCCATCCAAATTTACCTTTCAATTTTGGTAAGAAAATACCCCCAGTGACTGTTTTTAAAAAATCCATAAAAGAAAAATAAAGAGACATCATGGCTGCCAGTGAAAAATTTTTCAAGCCCTGAAAACCCAGATCCTAAATTTTCCCAACCCTGAAATAAAAAAAAAAATAAAAACTCTTCCTGCCTTGCCGTCTGTATGTTGCTCGTTGAACCATTTAGTCGCCTTTTACAATGCATGCCAGGGTCCAGCAGTGGATACCGTTCTTACTCCTTATCCACAAGGAGGCAGAGTCCAAGCTCACACTTTCTTAAAGAAGGCAGTTATGTTGGTGGTCTTAGTTTTTTTAAAGGGTCTTGGAGATTGCCTGACTAAGGCTGTCAAATTGGGTGTCGATGAAGCAAGAGATTGGTTTGAGACTGATGGTGAACGGAGGGGTTGGTTTGAGACTGATGGTGAACGGAGGGGTTGGTTTGAGACTGATGGTGAATGGAAGGGTTGGTTTGAGACTGATGGTGAACGGAGGGGTTGGTTTGAGACTGATGGTGAACGGAGGGGTGGTTTGAGACTGATGGTGAACGGAGGGGTTGGTTTGAGACTGATAATGAAGGTAGGGGTCGGTCTGAGACTGAAGATGAAGGTAGGGGTCAGTCTGAGACTGAAGATGAAGTGAGGGGTTGGTCTGAGACTGATGAAGGTTGTGACTGGTCAGTAATGGAGGCTTTTCTTTTTCTGGACCTCACTGATGGGGTTTTGGTCTGATCTTTTATGGACATAGCATATGATTGTGAGATCATACTTCTCATGTCAACGGAGATTGGATAAGTTGACGCAGTATACCCAGAGGCTTTCAATGTCTGTTTCACAGAGAGAAGAGCCTCAAAGTTTTGTGCAGTCATTCTGGTTCTGTCCTTCTCCAGAATATCATCCATTATATTGAAAGTCCCTTCAACAATAGGTCCACTGAAACAAGACAGTTGCTTTCACCAACTTACTCAGTTTTGGATACTTTGGCTGTCCTTGAACTTTGATGTAGAACAGGTGACAATACCAGTCTGAATCAATTCTGGTGCCCAATTCATCTTCGTCATATATAAGGCATGAGAGACATCCGCTTGTCAGTGACATACTCTCTCAGCTCTTGATCAAGGGCACCAAGCTCACATGAATGTAGAACTTGTGGCAGAGATTTTGCTAGATTCATAAGTGCTTCGTTGAGTCAGTCCTCTGCATTTCAGGTGATAAAACAGAGAGTCGAATCAAAGTCTTATTACTTAGAGGCAAGTTCTTCAGCTTTTCACAACCATTGATATATCCTTTTAGGAGGGCTTTGTGGAAATTAGCCAACCAGAATTTGAACTTCACATCCTTTTGCATGATCATATGATCCTCATATACATCAGGACCAACTGACAGAGATTTGTTGGTTAACTGGATTGTTTCATCCCTGCAGTCCAATTCAGCTAGATCTCTGGCATTGTACTCAGGAATTTTGGAAGGCTTGATAAAACCTCTGTAGAAACCCTGGAGTACTTTGAAGATGGAAGTGGGCCGGGTATGTGCCAGTGGCTTTTCACTTTGAAACCTCAACACATAACTTTTTAATTGTCCAAGTATTCCTTTATATAGCTTCAGTAGAAGAAGGCTCTTGTCTTTGATCTTGAAAAGGAACAAGGCAATGTTGTCTAATTTTTTTAACACCAGCTGCAGATTTGTTCTGGGCCACTGACTTCCAGATAGACACAAGCTCAGACTGTTTCTGTTCATCAATGCCATATTTTGACAAAAATGACAAAAGCTGCTGTTTGTGGCCTTTCTTTTCCTCTGCTGTCAATGTGCCATATTAGTAAATCCATAGAATATCCCACAGCTTTAAGATTCTTTGAGCAACCTCATGCAATTGGAGAAATCTTGTTGGCAGAGGCCTAAGGTGGATAACAAACATGCAGACTTGCCCAGAAGAATCTGTTGGACACTGTTTGAAAAGGCTTTTCATTTTTGGAAAGGTCCTGAATGTCAAAATGTATAGCACACAATGCTGGTTGAATTGGATGGAAGGTCTCGATTTCATTAAACATGGCATTGGCACTGTTGTTGATCATATGCACCGTATCTCCCGAAATGTCCATCAGATGGTGATTTTTCTCCTTTCTCCTTGCCTCTACTCCACTATTAAAACCTCTCATCACGTTACAGAAGTCCATGAGGACTGACGTCACCTGGTCCCATTGGAGTTCATATTCTAGATCTATTCTATATTTGAAATCTAGATCTAGATTTTCTAAATAAAGAAAAAAATGTTACTTACATGGGAGCCTGCAGTTTCCAGTCACGGAGTTCAAACGGTTTTTGTGTCCAGTGTCAAAAGCATGGTCACAAATGGCTTTCTTCCCACTTTGAAGCATACGTGAGGGTCTTCCCGCAAGCAACACAACAATATGCACCGGTTGTTCGACTTTCCTACACCACACAGAAACTTTGACATCGTCGAAAATTTCATCAAACCATTGCCAACACCTCTTATTATTTTCACTTTTCTCCAATTCCTCCGTAGAAGCAGGTCTATCTAGAAACTTCATCTTCAAAAATCAAACAGAACTTACACAGATCTAGAAATCTATTTGAATTTATCGAGATTGACGGTAGGCTAGCTTACGACACAACCACTCGCTGGCTTAGCTTTCGTCTCACTGACACTGATCCCGGTTTTTGCGCGAACAGATCTAACTACTCATGAAAATAATCAAAGGGATTAAAAAAATCCGATTTCTGGAAATCGTTCACCCCTTATTTGAGCCATGTAATTTATTTATCCTTTCGATCCCGTGACCGGCGTTTCCGATGATCACAGATCAGACATACGAAATGAAATATCGCATCCGGAACTTGCATGCTTATCGCGATACCAGTTTTTAAAAGTCCATTACGCTTGGCCGGACTCGATCGTTACCGGCCAATTTTTTTTTCCGTTTTGAGAGACCCGATGCCACCCGGAAAGTGATGCTGTGAAATTTTGTCAGCCCGGATTTCCGGGACCCATGGGCAATAGAAATATGGTCAGTTTTCTGCGGAAAATGAAATACGGTGGAGTCCACTTATAATGAGTCCTGAAAAAACGAGACGTCTGTTATGAAGACACTTTTCTAAATCCCTGTTTTTTCCCTTCTTTACCTTTGTAAATAAAATACTGCTATAGCGCAATCAGACAAACACGCGAGTCGGTTATAGCAGAATATTGCTGTTGCTGTGCACAGCCCATTTATAATATGTAAAACCTCGCCATTTGAGAAACTTGGTGGTGATCTAGCGAAACAAAGTATGGGAGAGCCCACAGTGAAGGCCGGAGCAAATGAGTGTGGAGGGTGTGGAATGCACTGACAAACATTGCATAGCTGGATAAGCATAGGCCAGCCTAGTCTAGATCTTCTAAGCCTACCATGCATCTCACTTCTCCTTTTCAGGAAAGTCTAGACTTCGTAGAGACCCAAAGGAAATATTTTAGATGCAAAAAATTGCAAGATCTGTTTTCCGTCATTGATCCTAACAGACTTCTGGATTTTATAAAGGCCATTGGCCTTTATGGGAAGTTGTGAATGGGATTGTTAAAAATTTTTAATGTTATTTGAAAAGTTGTTTTGAATTAATTTATTTACATCAAATTTTTAGCATTTTAGTAGAGATGCTGACCAGAATCAGGCTGTGCAGTGTACTGGTGCAAATAGAACCAACCTTTTTCTCGTGCGCTCATATGACCTTATGCAGTCGTTAGCGTCGTAAAACTCTTACTAAAACAAGCGACAACAGTGAATGTCATCAGATGAAGTTTTGTTTTTGGGCAAGTTTTGTTTTCACATTAAAATGTCATTACACCAGGTCTGTATCACAACTTTCTTTTGAATATTTGAGCCTAGATTAGATGAAGTTTTTCTTCTGTTAACATTTTTGTAAGTCCAATCCCCCAGTTTTTCGTTTCTTCTCTGCTCTATGAGTGTTTAGAAATGTGCTTTTTAATCTACTCATTTGTTAATAGCTGTTTTTTCTGCTGTTGCATCTTTTGTTTGATCTGATTGCTCTATGGCCACTGCTGGATGAATAGTATTCTTAAGTTTACAAAAGCCATTGGCTATGAGGGTGAAAGAGTGCTGTTAAACCTGGAGTGTGTAAATCATTGTATGTGAGGGTTGGAGAGGAGTGTGGAGACAGATGTATTTGTTCTGAAAGTCATTGATTGTGACAAAGGACTGAGGACAGCTGCTGTGGAAGTAAATTAACATGAGTATGTGCACAAGAGTTTAGAAAGTGAAAGAAGAAGGGTCTGGTTACAAATATCATCAAATGTGCCAGAAGACTGCTACATTGCTACAACAAAAAAGTTGATGTCAAAAATTTTGTTCAATTCCTTCGAAAGTGCCTTATCGTTTTTGCTTGAGACAGCTCTTCGAGTCCTTGATCTCTCTTGAAATTCCTATTGTGTTTCTTAATATAATTGCACCTGGTACAATGTGAAAATGCATAATTTTTAGCTTTGTGCCGTACTATGGAGGTAATGGAAATTGGTTAAATTTGCTGCTCCTTGGTGCCTACATGATGTTACATTTACATGTAATGTATGTATGCACACATATGTACCAAATTTGCTATTAGTTTAGTGCTGGGCTTGCAGGCAATCGATTAACACAGATTTTGTCTCGTGGACAACCACATGCTCTCACAAAACAAAATCAGCAAAATGACTTTTAAAAAATAGAAAATTTCCCTTTTTGACTTGAATTTTTAAAGTTTTTTTAAGAATATGAGTAAGATTTGGGGAGGGGGGTGTAATATATGTATAGGGAATTGACGAAAGAGACACAATTGAAGACTCGGGTCTGGAAATGTCACAAGTCTTCAGACTGCTGTCCTGGCTAATAATACTACAGTGGAATCCTGTTATAACGAGAGGGAGGGGACCGGAGCAAAATGTCCGTTATAGCAGGATTCTCGCTATAGGGATCCAGTAATAAATTCAAGGGAAACTGTAAAAGAGGCCTTATCTATGAGTTTGGTGTTCTGTTTATTTCCTTTTGCTATCTCCCCTTATGATGATTTTGTCAACAAGACCTCTTGGTCTTACTTGATCAAAAATTGAATCAGGTTTCTTTCTTTAGCGATGTGGACTGACAGCTCAGCGTTGGCGATCAGAAGGAAAGGGCCCTGGGCTAACTCCCCCGCTGTGTTTTCCCCCACCCCACCTCACCCTGTGATGCATTCTGTCTGCTTGCGCACGTCACACATTCGCTCCGTCCATCACATTGATGTGACCTCTCCATCTCCGCATCGGAGAAGTGAGAGGCATGGTAGGCCTTGATAATCTGAACTAGGCTTACGCTGGCCTATCACGCGATGCGTTCTGCTTGTCTGCGTATGCCACACCCTCCCTACTCAGTTGCTCCGGCCTTCATTGTTGACGCACATGGGCTCTCCTATTCTTTGTTTCGTAAGATAACCAACAAGTTTCTTTACTGGCGAGGGTTTGCATGATGTATAATTGGCCTATCCACTGTTCACAGCAGCAGCAATATTCCGCTATAACCGACTCGCATGTTTGTCTGATAGCGCTATAACAGTATTTTATTTACAAAGGTAAAGAGGAGAAAAAAACGGGGTTTTAGAATTGTCTTTATAACAGACTTCTCGTTTTTTCCGGACTCTTTATAAGTGGACTCCACTGTAATAAACTTTACTGAAAATGGATGCAGACAGCAAGAACACACTTGCCCTTTGATAACAAAGGGGTCAAAATGACACGAGAAAGCTGTTTTCGTGGGGGAACTCTCCTGGTCTAGAGGTACATGTAGTGTTCGGTACCTAAAAGTAACAGCGACGGAAAATTTTCTCCTTTTACTTTACTTCAGACCTCCTGGAACCTGGAGAAGAATCACAGAAATTGATGTACAGAAAAGTGGAAAGACATGGAATAACTCCAAGAGGCTAGCCAAGGATAGAGAAAGGTGGAAAGTGTTTATCCATGGCCTTATACCCTGGTGCAGGGTGAGAAAGGCAATGAAGATGATGATGATGACTTCACTTCCTTTCCTGCTCTCAAGTCATGTTCTGTCATCTGCTTTCAGCTCCACTATCTGCCCCCCCCCCCCCCCCCCCGGCTCTCTCTGCTGCCTTTCTAATGCTACTCCTTGGCTCCTTCCTGTTGTCTTTTAGCCATACCCGTGGTCTCACAGTAGGTAAGATCTCTAGCCTTCTTCGGATAAGGGCGAAAACTATTGGCAGTTCCGTGTGCAAGTTGTTCATGTTTAAGATCCCTTTGTGGTCCTAAAATCTATAGGTTTCCGCCGCCAATCAGGCAAAATTCTAAATTTCTGCCAAACTGAAAATACTCAATGTGTCCCGCGCGTTCATATGACCGTATGTAGTGGCAAGCATATTATGAGCTGTGTAAAAAAAAAGACCGATTCGTTCAAATACACAAGCCTGTGTCATCTCGATTGTTTACCAAGAAAAAGTTGTGTTGCTGTGTAGAGCCGAGCATAAGGCAACTTTTGATTCTATAGACCAGCGCACAATTCATTACGTAGATCTACGTCAAGACTACCTTATTATTGTAATACATGTAATGATCAGTTGCCGGGGGGAAAAAGACTGACGCGTTTGAATATGCGATGTTCAACGCCCGGATCGCTAGTGCCCCCCCCCCCGATACGCACACACAGCCACACATGTGCAGGCCGCCCATCCGACCCCGACACACGCCAGAGTAGACACGTACACGTGCCAACAACACACGCGTTGGTATTTAGAAAGAACGCAGATTGGTCGCATGCAATCGGCTAAGTGAATAATGGTTCATGATGCAGGTGCAATGGACGATTTCTGGGAATAGATAAAGTTTGTTCTGGGAGAAGAATGAGCGAAGCCACGTCTGCGGGGGCTGTTCACCCTGGAAGCGACCTCGTTGAATCGGAGCTCGCTGATTTAAGTGCTAGTTGAATCCGGGTTACTTTTATTGATTTTAAAGAAGGAAAAAAACGGGGAATCTATCTCATCTCGTTGAACCCGAGTTCCACTGTATCACACCTATGTTCAGTTCAGCACCCACATGATAAAATCAGCACACAAGAATTAAATTAAGAATACATGTGCAGTGCAGCCTCTCTATAACGCAACCAAAAATTACTAATTACTATAAGGAAAAAAAATCGAGACATTGGCACCTTGTCACTGTACAAAGGATGTCGTTATGGGGAGGCTGCACTGTATACTGTGGAACTCGGATTCAGCGAGGTCGCCGGGCCTGACCTAAAATCTCATTGAATCCGAGTGTTCGTTATAGCAAACACAAGGTTTTGTGTAGATAATTACAGGCACTGAGCAAGTAATGTATAAAGAGTAGTCACTAGCAGTGCCTGAAATGCCTGCATATTATGAGCTGCGTTAAAAAAAAAAAAAAAAGAGATTCGTTCAAATGCACTCCTGTGACATCTCGATTATTTACCACAAAGTTGTGTTGCTGTGTAGAGCCTAGCATACGTCAACTTTAGATTCCATAGACCAGCGCACAATTCATTACGAAGATCTACGTCAAGACTAGCTTATCATTGTACATGTAATAATGATGTGTTCCCAATAATGATCAGTTGCCGAGGGGAAAAAAAAGACTGTGACGGGTTCGTATCTGCGATGTTCAACGCCCGGACCGCGAGTGCCACGTGTGCAGGCCGCCCATCCGACCCCGACACACGCCTGAGTAGAGCCAATAACTCACATGTTGGTATGAAAAAAGGCCGCTGAGTTGTCGTATGCAACCGGGTAAGTGAATAATGGTTCACGATGCAGTTGCAATGGATGGTTTCCCGGAATAGATAAAGTTCGTTCTGGGAGAAAAATGAGCGAAGCCATATCTGCGGGGGCTGTTCACCCTGGAAGCGACCTCGCTGATTTAAGTGCTCGTTGAATCCGGGTTACTTTTATTGATTTTAAAGAAGAAAAAAAAACGGGGAATTTATCTCATCTCGTTGAATCCGAGTTCCACTGTACAGTAGAAGTAGAACCTGCCATCACAGCCACCTGTACAGACAGCCACTTTCCACTTCCCCCTTGTGTTTTTCTCCTGCACAAAATGATAACCTTCCCAACGCGGCCTGCAGCCACTGTTTTATCAACAAACACCTAAAAAAAACTTGTCGAAACAATGCAAATCTCTCATCGTCTGCCAATTTGTCATAAATAATATATCAGCCTCTGAAGTTGTGGATGAGCTGTCATAACCCATCCACGTGTAGTTATTGTTAGTCCCTCCCATGAATGAGCCGATCATTGTGTCTTAGGTCCCTCCATTGTTTACCCATGTTGACCAGTCGGTTACAATTAAGTAATTTTCAGCTGATGATGACAGAGGCGTGTGGTCTGTCAGAACCAATAGCATAAACCCCATCGCACACAGAAGACCAGCTTAGATTCCTGTGAGTGGAGAATTTTTATCAAAACTTATTGAGTATTTCAGTCTTCTGCTGGGACGTACCAGAAATCTTGACCTACACCAAAAGTGGGCATTGCCCTACTTGTAGGAGAAGTTTGGCTTCATTGGTGTGTATATTTGTTTGATAAATACAGAAAACTTTCCTTCTCTTTTAAAGAAACTGAACAAGAGGCAAAAACTAAAAACTCTACCTTCGATTTTCTCAAAACAGCATTTTTTGGGATAGCCCCCCTGTTCTTAAAAGCAACCATTTGTCAGTCACAGTGTTACTAAAAGATTGCCTGCTTCATGAAAGACTCATAAAGGGGAAGCTTATGCCACGGGATATTGGCCAAAGAGTTTCCCACTTTATCTGTCGATTCGAGATGTGTACAATAATGGCGTTTAGATAGCACACCAGACTAGGTCAACGTACTGCGACATGCATATAAATGTACTATGTGCACAATGAACTTAGAAAAAAAACTTTAAAAAAACTAATACTAATAATCAACTCAAAGTTTACAGTAATAAAACAGTCTTTTTTCACAACCCATTTTTTCACAAAAATCCAAGCCAACAACAATACACATTTCAATGAAATTTTAATGTACAAGGAGTAAGCTCATGAATGAATGTTTCAGCTGCTAGTAAATAAAAAACCAACTTAACATGCATGACTTAAAAACGAGACCAGTTTTACATTGGTGGCTTATAGTTATAGTCAAATTTGTAGAAGAGCACAGCTAATTTTTTTTTGGGTGACCTTATTTAGGCCACATATGGCCTAAATAAGCTAAACCCCCCTCCCTTACCTTATTTAGGCCTCACCTGTGGCCTAAATAAGCTAAACCCCCCTACCTTACCTTATTTAGGCCACACCTGTGGCCTAAATAAGCTAAACCCCCCTCCCTTACCTTATTTAGGCCACACCTTTATACAAAGTCACAGAAATATTCCTTTTGTGCTTATTGAGGTGCAGTGCAGGGTGATTTTACCTGCAAGGATAATTGGACAAAATGGGCAACATCTTTATTGCTAATGGTCATATTTAGATAAATCCTATATCATTGTCTTTTTTTTCTTAACTGCTCATGGTTATTAAAGAGTAAGCCAACTAGGCAGTAATTTCGGATTCCTAATACTAATATTATGGGCATTCTTAAAATTTTAAAACTTGTTTTTACCGCTTTTCTCAACGTAAAACGGATTCCGTAAAAAAACAAAACAACAATGACCTTATCTTTCTTTTTCAAAGTATTGTGCATGCATATGTGTGAAACTATATATTCTATGCTTTCATGTACATGAAAAAAGCTAATAAAGGCAAGCAAAATGTTCTTCAGATACATAGATCTAGTAGTAGGCCCACTGGAATTTTTTTATAAACCGGGAAAGATGACCAGAAAATAACAAAATTATTTTATGATCTTCACTTGCACTTGCAATTTTTTTGACAAATTATAGTCTACCTCATTGTCTTTTTTTCCCCGCATTTTTCTTCACTATTCATGACAACTGGCATGTATTGTTTTCAGTTATTATCAAAAAAGTGGATAGGCGAACTACGGGGTCTATCTAGCCAAAAGGATAGGTGGACCCCGGGGTCTACCTAACAAAATGCTAGGTTTTAAGATGTGAACCCCGGAGTCAGCGTAGTGAAATAAGTAGTAGATCTAGGTTTAACTAAGGATCGGTGGACCCCGGGGTCAACATAGTGAAATAAGTAGATCTCAGTTTATTTTATAGTAGGACTGGCGGAGCCCGTGGTCAACATAGCGAAATTATAAGTAGATATAGGTTTAATTAAGGATTGGTGGACCACGGGGTCAACGTAGTGAAATCAGTAGATCTAGGTTTAATTAAGGATTGGTGGACCCTGGGGTCAATGTAGTGAAATAAGTACATGTAGATCTAGGTTTAATTTTAAGGATTGGTGGACCCTGGAGTCAACGTATTGAAATAAGTAGGTTTAAGGTGGACCCCAGGGTCTACCTAACGAAATACTAGTTAGGTTTTTAGAATAGGAGGAACCTGCGGTCACCGTAGTAAAATAAGTAGGTTTAATCAAGGTGTCCCGGGGGTCCACCAATCCTTAATTAAACCTTCTTATTCCTCTACGGCTATGGTGACTTCGGGGTCCACCAATCCTTTTAAAATTAACCTTACTTATTTCACTACGCTGACCCCGGGGCCCACCAATCTTTAAAGAAACCTACTTGTTTCACTACGGTGACCCCGGGGTCCACCTGTCCTAAAACCTAGTATTTCGCTAGGTAGACCCCGGGGTCCACATTAAACCTGCTTATTTATCACTACGTTGACCCCGGGGTCCACCAATCCTTACTTAAACCAAACCTTATTTCACTATGGTGACTCCGGTGTTCACATCCTAAAACCTAGTATTTCGCTCTGCAGACCCCAGAGTCCACCTATCCTCTACAGGACTAAACTATTATCAATTTGCAATTTTCATTGATTAGCAATATTTTTTTTTAAATATTGAATCAGAGACTCGCTGTCTAAAAAGTCCACTGATAATGCTATTCTTTTCAAAGAAAATGGCACAATTTGATTTTATGACATGTTGAAAAAGAGTTTTAAAAATATCCCGAAAACAACATAAAATGATTATATAGATCTCTCTCTCTATATATATATATGTGTGTGTGTGTGCTTGTGTGTGTGTATTTTATTATGTATACTAAAAGACTGAGCAGAGGCTTACAATGTAAATTCTGTGCTCTACAAGTAGAGAAAATATTAAGTTTGCGCAAAACAGATTTTAGAAAAAAAAGTTGGATCTAATTATTCTAATACAAGTAAAAGTGATTGTTATGCTGAGATTTGTTATTATTGACTCTGGAAATACAGTTACTTGCTGAATCTAAAAATAACTAGAACTGTGCAATTCGTTTTATTTCAATTCCAAAGCCCAAAGGCATAGCAATAATAAGTTAGATCTAGATCTAGCAGTTGTAGGCTCTCTGGCTGCTTCTAGCATAGGCCTGCTACTACTGATTCTAGACAGGGAATCTAGATCTTGCTATCGCCTGCACTATTAAAGTCAAATATATGGTAAAATAAAAACAAAACTGAATTTTTTTTCAGTCAGTACATCCCAATTGCCATAGCCGCATGTATTAATAGTTGAATAATGCGATACCGCAGCAACACGTTATCACAGTGTGCAGGGGAGAGCGAGGTGCCCGGTCAATTCGGTGGTTCGGCTTTTGTAGATCTATGCATTTTTTACGGAAAGCCCTATTACCTAACCCTCTTACTAGATCTATTAGTGTTGTGAAAACTTCAACCTCTACAGCTCAGGCGTCAAAAGATGCTGGAAAATAATAATACGTCCTGAAGTTTCATAATTTATTTTTATACAGAATAACACAGTACACAGCCAGTAGTTTTTATTTCATCGAGTTATAAAAATGGCCTTCGTATAAAAATTGCCTTGTTTTCAGAAGCAAATTTTAATAGTTCTAGTTCTACTGAATCGATTTTCACGCGAATTCAACCATTTTGATGATCTTTCTTTTCCTTTTAAAAAGATGTAGATCTAGGCCTGTCGGATGTGGCAGTGCGAATAACACTGAGTTGTTTAGATCTAGACCCATCAAAACACGAGGCTTCGTGGCCGATCACAAAAGTCTACAGGGCTTATTGAGGCCGATTCGCCCTGAGCACGTTCACTAAACTGCCTACTAGATAGAATCTACTACCAAATATTCTCTACACGATCTTTGCTACTACTACTACTAGGCCTACTAGTCTACATGTACTACTACGAGACAGTACGAGAGAGTGTCACTCAGGCAAAGATAGTGTAACTTTGACTCAGCCACGTAGTGTACACTCTTTTTATACCCCAAATTTAACCCGGAAGTCCATTCGGAGGATTTGACCTTTTCACTTGACCAAAGTGTGCCAAAATGGTAGCCTAGCTTTTGCCCCTCCATGAAGGAAAAATCTGGCCCTCATTCAAACCATTGGGATTGAGCAAAATTTTGCGTATTGTGCTTTGTTCTTTACAATATTCATTATGGTTATGATTTATAAGTTGTACACTGAGACAAAACCGTACTAAATGAGAAAGGTGCACCATTATGAAAGTGGAACGAACTCAGTTGCCTGAAAAGGGTAGTTTGAGCATGTGTGGCCTAAATAAGCTAAACCCCCCTCCCTTACCTTATTTAGGCCATATGTGGCCTAAATAAGCACTCCCTTTTTTTTTTCATTCACAGCTGAAAATCACCATCAACATTCAAAGGTTCAAATCCGACACAGATGAACAAATCCATATGTTTTTCAAGCAATTGGCGAACTGGAAAAATCATGCACACAAATCAAAACCAAACAGGAGACTAACACTTTCTTCTTGCCTTCATTTCACCTCTGCTTTAGCAACTGCTGCATACATACTCCAAAATAATGGAGTAACTCAGAGACGCATAACTACCCCACTTCTTTGACATTCAACATTAATAGCCACTGTGTAAGTGTATTGGCCCCATTGACCTTAAGCAGTTGCGTTGTGAGCGCCGTAGAAAACTCTTACCAAATTGAAAAGGCTCTACCATGGTGACTTCGATGTCCCACATAGCAAGCCATCTCTTTGGCATTCCCCATGGCAGAGCTACCACAAAAAACACTCTCGACAAGTGACCAAAAAGCCACTACTTCCCCTGCATTCAAACATCAATAACCTCTATGCAAGTGATCTCTATTAAACAGTGAGACATACCCTTACACTTTCCTTGATTCCAAACATATGTATATATTGACCATGCCATGTCTCTCCTTTGGAACATATCAAGGAAGTCAAAATCTGAAGGGAGGGAAGTGGTACCAGTACGGTACTTAGATAATCTAGCTCTGTGACGGTACTTAGATAATCTATCTCTATGACGGTACTTACATTATCTATCTCTATGACGGTACTTAGATCATCTAGCTCTATGACGGTACTTAGATAATCTACTCCTCTATGTCTACTCTCTAGTTCCTCTGTAAAGCTGCTTCATGCAGGCTGCTTTAGTCACCATCGAAATCGATGCGCAGTCTAAGAAGTGGTCTCCACCAGCATCACCAAAAATATAGGCCTACTGAACTAAACACCTCTCCCTAGGTGTTCAACAAAGAAAGGCACCAGCACTGGGAGATGAGACATTCCACATCTGGAGTAGCGAGGAGTGGCAGAGAACGAAGAAATGTAAATGAGAGGAAGCAATGACAGCCATCACTTTTCAGGCACCCGGGCAGCGTCACAACTGAACTGAAGGCAAAAAGGAAGAAATCTCTACGTGCATAACGCACTTGTCTCCTGCTCCAAAAGTAATTCTCTAATGGTCAAAGGAAAATTTGTCTCTACATCGCCACTAAAACTAAAAGCTAACGAACTGGACAGGAAATGAAAACCTCTAAACCTATCCATCAATATATCAACAACAAAAAAAACCCAAGGTCAGCCATAAAAGAAAGGCATGGCCACAACCAAAGCT